ATCTCAAAAACCAAAACAGGAAAATAAAGACTGAACTCCTGTGTTCTGCTTGCATGAACATGACAATGTTCATGACATTGGCACACTTTACTGCTTGGCAATAGAATGGCAGGCCCCCAAATTAAACACAATACAACCATCATGTAGCAACCCCACTTTGGGGAATATAAAATAACTGAAAGTGGGAATGCAAACAAAGATCTATGCATTAATGTTCATAGTAGCTCTATTCATAACAACTGAAGACAGAATGACTCAAAACACCCACTGATAGATAGATAGATAGATAGATAGATAGATAGATAGATAGATAGATAACAACTTGTGATATATACATGTGATGGAATATTATTCAGCCTTTAAAAGGAAGAAAATTCTTGGGTGATTGGATTTGTTTGCCCCTGCAAAAGTATTTTTAGTTTATTCATGAATCAGTCTTCAAATTAACTCACTTCAAACTAATAACTTATAAAGTTTATTTTAAACTATACTGATGGTTTAAAGATGGGAGGAGCATGAAAACAAAGAATCTAGGGAGAAATTCTGATGTGTGGAACAATATAGATGAATCTTGAAGATATTTTGCTAAGTAAAATAAGCCAGACATGAAAGGCCTGATACTGGATATTTCCCTTTCTGTGAGCGGCCTAGAATAGTCAGACTCTTGGCACAAGGGAGAACGGTGCTCCAAGGATTTGAAGGCTGAAGAAAATGGGGAGAGGTTGATAATGGCTGATCTGTCTATTCAGTACCTCTCCAAAGCAACACACTGCCTGGCACAGGGAAGCATCTGTCCACTGGTGAAGAAAACTAGGTCAGAGGACCTTGGGGGAAATTGGAAGGTGCAGGACCCCAAATCTACCAAGTTCACAATGTTGCTTTAGTCTCGAAGAATCATAAATTAAACCTAGTGTTTTCTCAAGAGCAGAGAAGTGCCAGGGATTAACTTGAAAAATCTGTTTGAGATCTGACAGCCAAGCCCCGAGTTAGGAGTCAAAAATAACTTAGAGAACACCCCTGGAAGTTTCTTCTCCCAGTTCTCCCCTGCTGGCAAAGGAAGAAGTGGGGTCCTCCCCACCACCCCCAGGACCCCACAACTGTGCTCTAACCCCTACCAACTTCGAGAGCTTGGTGTGAGCATAGGGCTGGCCAGGCTGCTGCGGGTAGGGAGTATAAGGACAGGACAGGTCAGGACAGGACAGGACAGGACAGACTGCTGCAGGTAGGGACAGTTAAGGACAGGACAGGTGCTGCAGGTAGGGACAGTAAGGACTCACTTCCATTCTCTTCTAATGGTCTAGATAAATCATTAACCCTGCTGGCACCACTGCAGTAAAGACTGAAGCTCCCCCAGCCCCCCAAAAAAGGGGGAAAGAAGAAAGGGAACGTGGGAAGGAGGAAAAAGTTTCACCTGTGCTAAAGATTCTACAAGACTAAGCTTCAAGATTAAGGAGAGTTAAAATGTTTCACACCAGAGCCAAATTCTCTCAGCTGTTTTAGGCCCTTTGAAAGCCTTCTATTGCCCACACCTGTGTCGACCCAGCATCCTTGTGACTGTCCAGACTTTAAACGTATTAACAGACCACTAGCCCAAAACCTAAGAATGCTATCAGCTATTATCTCATACCTACAGCAGTTGTCTTGCTTGGCTATGACTTGTGGACCCACCAGTGTATTTGATTTGCTGCTTCCTTTGTTCTGTGACTGCTAGAATCTGACGTAAGAATTTCCATGGTAGAGTGTGGTGTTTGGGGAACCTGAATCTGGCTGATCACTTAGCTCCAGAATAAACCATTTCTTACTGTCTCTGAGATGAGAACCGCATTTTTGCTTTGACAGTGGTCTTCTGGTCAAGAGCTGTGACAGGACCAGCTATATGCCAAGAGTGAAGGCAAAAATATTACCATAAAGCTTTCAGCCTCTGAATGTGGTGAGCTGAGCACTACTGATGAAGATCGTTTTCTTAAGGTTGAACTATAATGTTAATTCACCAACTTAAATACCAACCCTGTGACGGTTCCAGGATATAGGGTTCACCCAAGTCCTTCATCTTAACCCATCTATGAATAAAGAGCACAACATGGCGGGCACCACAGAGAAATGAGGGGTGGCAATGGGTGCTAGGAAGCGAGTACCCTCCTTCCCAGGAAACCCTGCTAGGTTTAACAATCATTTCTCAAGTCCAAAATGGGATGGTAAAGAGTAAGAGTTTAGGGTGGCATTCTGAGGCTATTCTATCGAGAGCTCCCAAAATGGGAACTTGACTTCTTATTACCCCCTTTCTGCATATTCTAAACTGATTCTAGCCACCAAAAGTTATCTCACTTCCTAGTTCAGGGTTGTGTCTCTTCCTCTCTGTACTATAAAGGTATTTTTTAATAATTTATTTAGCTTTATTTTATGTGCATTGATATGAAGATATCAGATCCCCAGGAACTGTAGTTACAGACACTTGTGAGCTGACATGTGAGTGCTGGGAATTGGACCCAGGTCCTCTGGAAGAGCAGCCAGTGCCCTCAACTGCTGAACCATCTCTCCAGCCCTGTATAAAGGTATTTCAACCAACAACATGTACCCAGCCTACACCGAACATCCCAGATTATTCCCTCTCTCCCTCCCTCCTTCTCTCTCTCCCATTCTCTTCCTCCTCATTGTTTTGTTTTGTTTTATTTGAGACAAGGCCTTACAACATAGCCCAGGCTAGCCTCAAGCTCATACTTCTCCTGATGTTGGGGTCGCAGGTCTGCATCTCATTCGTGGCTAGTGTTTTTCAAGAATTCAGATGCATTATTCATACTGTATCTCCATTCAATTAGTTAGACTATGGGATCAAGCTTCACCAGTCTTGTTTTTCAAGCCCTTTTGCAGAAGTCTCGACTAACCATCTCCATTTATGGTTAAGTGGCTAAGATAACAGGAACAACAAACGACAGATTTTTGCAATGACTGAACATGAAAGTGAGGGTGTGGGAAGTACAATACTCTCCAAAAGAACAAGAGCTAGACAGAGTAAGGCTGACCCAGGACGCTGGGACCTGAGAGCAGTGCCCGGGACGCAGAGGACTGAGAGCTGTGCCCGGGACGCTGGGGGCTGAGAGCTGTGCCCGGGACGCTGGGGGCTGAGAGCTGTGCCCGGGGCGCAGAGGACTGAGAGCTGTGCCCGGGGCACAGAGGACTGAGAACAGTGCCCGGGGCGCTGGGGGCTGAGAGCCGTGCCCGGGGCGCATGCGCAAAACACCATGGCGCGCCTGCTGTAAGTGAAAAGGAACATCACCTCAAAGCTCGCAACCAGCCTAGCAGCTAAGGGAAAGGCAAGTCTGCCCCATGGATGAAACCAGGAGATGAAGGAAGCACCACCGCGATGCCCCAACCCCATCTACTAACCGATTTAAAGAGACTGCAGGGCAGGGTGGTGCTGAGGCAGGAGGAGCGCTTGACCACAAAACCGAGACTCGCACAAGGAGCTTAGTAAGACCCTGTTTGGGGGGTGAGGGTGGGATGATAACAATGATAACCAGGTCACTTGGGGCTTAGATTATGAATAGAAATCTTTGCCAACAAAACTTAAGTAAAAAATGGATCAAAGACCTCAACATAAACCCAGCCTCACTTAACCTATTAGAAGATAAAGTAGGAAATACCCTTGAATTAATTGGTACAGGAGACCGCTTCCTGAACATAACACCAGTAGCACAGACACTGAGATCAACAATTGATAAATGGGATCTCCTGAAACTAAGAAAAGCTTTTGTAAGGCAAAAGACATAAGAAAGTGTTCAACATCCTTAGCCATCAGGGGAATGCAAGTCAAAACAACTCTGAGATACCATCTTACTCCTGTCAGAATGGCTAAAATCAAAATCACCATTGACAGTTTATGCTGGAGAGGATGTGGAGAAAGGGGAACACTTCTCCACTGCTGGTGGGAGTGCCAACTTGTACAGCCACTTTGGAAATCAGTATGGCGACTCCTCAAGAAAATGGGAATGAGTCTACCACAAGATCCAGCAATTCCACTCTTAGGCATATACCCAAAAGAAGTACATTCATACAACAAAGATATCTGTTCAACAATGTTCATAGCAGCACTATTTGTAATAGCCAGAAACTGGAAGCAGTCCAGATGCCTCTCAATTGAAGAATGGATAGAGAAAATGTGGTACATTTACACAATGGAGTACTACTCAACAGAAAAAAACAATGGAATCTTGAAATTCGCAGGAAAATGGATGGAACTAGAAGAAACCATTCTGAGCGAGGTAACCCAATCACAAAAAGACAAACATGATATGTACTCACTCATATGTGGATTTTAGACATAGAGTAAAGGATTACCAGCCTACAATCCACACTGCCAGAGAAACTAGTAAACAAGGAGAACCCTAAAAGAGACAAACTTTGTCCCCTGGAGAAGGGGACAGGGTCAGGATCCCCTGAGCAAATTGGGAGCATGGGAAAAGGGGGAGGAAGCTATGAGAATGAGAAGGGAAGAAGAGGAAGGATGCAGAGGTCATGAGGGAGCAGAAAGGTTGAGTCAGGTGTAGACTAGAAGAAAGGGTATGTGATAGGTAGGGTTTTAGTTGGAGGAGGGGTGGTAGGGGAGGAAGGGAGGGAGAAGGGAACTGGGGTTGTCATGTAATTCAATCTTGTTTGTATTTCAAATAAAAAAATGTTTAAAAACAATAAAAGAAATCCAGAAATTAAAAACCCAAAAAGCATAAGCTTAATTTTAATAGGAAGCAAGCTGCATGACGAGCACGGTGATGAGATCTGGCTATGCAGTTAGTCACAGACAACTTCCTGCAGGTCATCTGGCTTCACTTCATGTAAAACAAAGCATTTACACTCTCACATGGTATCTGATTCTGCCTAGGAGAAGCAATGGTGAAAGCTCAGGTCACTGTCCCTCCCTCCCACTTCACACCCCTTATGCAGATCTCCCTGGTTTGGGACTAACAAGAAGCTCCTGGCCGGCCCCCCAGGCCTCATTCAACACTTACCGACATCTCCATAAACATACAGGCCCTTTGGAGGTTTGTTCCTTGAAAAAAGCTGCAAATTAAGAACAAATTTCAAATTTTCTATCATGAAAAGAATCACATATAATCATACACACAAAGTTCCCAGCTGTGCTATATATAGGACAGTGAGGGGGCAATTATATACAATAAGTAGAAAAAAACTTGGTATGAAAGTCTGCAAAGCCAAAATATTGGACAGCCTTTAAAAGGAGGATATTTTTGATAGAGTACAGCACAGATGAATCTTGAGGACATCGTATTAGTAAAATAAGCTAGTCACACAAAGACATAATACTTATGAGGTACCCTTATATGAGGTACTCAGAGTAACCAAAAGTCATATAAATGAGAAGTAGAAAATATGGTGGTCAGAGGCGGAGCAGAGGTGAGGAATTAGTGTAGGAATTCAGTGTTGCACTGTGTTACATGAAGAGACAGGTAGGAGAAACACACAGAATCATGTCGGCATTTACTGCCACAGAGCTGTGTAATTAAAAATAGTTAAGATGGCCAGCATGGCAGCAGACACTTGCTATCCAAGTACTCAGGAGGCTGAGGCAGGAGGATGCCTGGACTTCATAACCAGACCTGTGATTTAAAAGGCAAAATCTGATAGCTCAACTCAGAAATGGATCCATAATGCTCTTGCTTCTGTTTGTAACCCACAGGCAAATTCACCTCCCGACATGGGCCACACCCGGCTACAAGCCAGGCAAGCGGATCTTCTCTACCTTGGTTCCAACATCTGCATAGCCTCCTGTTCCCCTGAAGGTCACTGTTCTTAAGATTCAGCTGAAAACAGATTTCCATTCCCACCATCTCTTAGTTTTTCTTTGTTTTTTTTTTTTTTGTGTGTGAAACATTGTGTAACTATATTTTCAACTTGCCAAAAAAAAAAAAAAAACAACAACAAAAAATATTACACTAATTTGTGTGTGTGTGTGTGTGTGTGTGTGTGTGTGGTTTTTGAGACAGAGTTTCTCTGTGTAGCTTTGGAGCCTGTCCTGAGGCTGGCCTTGAACTCTGCATTACACTCTTAATGTTAAAACAATGTCAAATTTGAAACTTAACATAAAACCCAATAATCTCTCAGTAGATTCTGCATATTAGAAACCTTTGGAAAGCAATATTCTTTGTTAGTTAATTGGAGGTGTTAAACACAATCTGCACCAATAATTTTGTTGTTGGTGATGGTGGTGGTTTTTGGTTTTGGTTTTCAGACAGTATAGCCTTGTATCTGCATAGCCTTGGCTGACCTGGAACTTGCTATGTTAATCAAGCTAATCTCAAAGTTATAAAGATCCCCAATTTTAGGATTAAAGGTGTGAGCCAACTTGCCTGGAATAGTTTTTCTCTAGTACTGTTCAAATGGCACAAACAACACACACTAAGTAAGCAAAATTCGAGTTAGAAAAGCAACAAAGATGGGAGGGGAGTTGAATGAGAGCTCAATTTCTATATACAGTGCTGAGGATAGGCGAGCAGCTCAACACTAGAACGCTTCCTCACAAGTGCAATGGCTGGGACTCCGAGCTCAGGACTCACAGGCACCGAGAAGCACTTAGGGTCTGTCTTCTTTTTTCCTTCCTATCCAATAATCCAATCCAAGAGCACCCTGTCAGATTTTTGTATGCTACATGTGCAATTTATGCTAAATTCACTTCTTACTCCTCTCCTTAAATTAAACTGAATTTGGACTTAGTTTGGCGAAATTTTAGGGGGAAGGTATGTTTTGCTTTTTGAGACAGGGTGTCACCGTATGGCTCTGGCTGACCTGGAACTCTGTATGTAGACCAGACTGGCCATAAAATCACAAACATCTGCCTGCCTCTGCCTCAGTGCTAGGACTAAGGGCCTGCACCATCATGCCAGGTCCTGCATTGCACCTTAATGCTAAAGAGATACTGCTAAGTGTGCATAGCAATCCTAGTATTTGGAAGCTCAAGCAAAAGGATCTCAGTTCAAGGCTAGCCTGGACAACATAGTGAAAACTTGTGTCAAAAAAAAACTAAGAGATGACATGTGCCTATGTGGTAGAATGGCAATGTCCCTCAATTTAGTCCCCACAAAAGTTGATGAGCAAAATAGATAACTTTTGACTACTGAATTTAAAACCTAGATATCAGGCCAGGTGTGGTGGCATACACCTTTATTCCCATCACTTAGGGCATGCTGATCTCTTTGAATTCAAGGCCAGTGTGGTTACTTGGTTCCAGGACAGTCAGAGTTACTGGGTGAGACCCTGTATCAAAAAAATAATAAAATAAAAATAAAGCTTGGATACCTTCTATCAATCAAGGTTAAGTGGTGTATCTAAATGACATTAAAATTTTTACTACAGTTATTTATTATACGTGTGTGAATGAAGAGGATACGTGCATTTCATAGCATACATATTAAGGTCAGAGGACAACTCTTGAGAGCCTGTTGTCCCGTTCCACCATATGAGTCCTAAGGATCAAACTCAGGTCATCAAGCCTGATAGAAAGCAGATATAAGCACTGAGCCCTCTCACATTCAGCAGTCATTCCTTACCCTCAGGAAGCATGGTCCTCCAGCGGACCTCTATAACTTGACTGTCCTGACCCCATACATGCCCTATTTTCCTATGTACATCTACCTATAATAAGATATAAACAATAGCAGCTGATAATAAAGAGAATTACTATAAAACCATACTATAATGAAACTATTTAAAAATTACATGTTGGGGGGCTGGAGAGATGGCTCAGAGGTTAAGAGCACCGACTGCTCTTCCAGAGGTCCTGAGTTCAATTCCCAGCAACCACATGGTGGCTCACAACCATCCGTTATGAGATCTGGTGCCCTCTTCTGGTGTGCAGATATACATGGAAGCAGAATGTTGTATACATAATAAATAAATAAAATCTTTTTTAAAAAATTACATGTTGAGTTGGGTGGCTGGAGAGATGACTCAGCGGTTAAGAGCTCTTGAAGCTCTTGCAGAGGACTGCAAGGTTTGGTTCTCAGCACCCACATGGCAGCTCACAATCACCTATTTATTCTATTTCCAGGGGGTTCACAAACCCTCTTCTGGCCTCTTCACATATAGGCACTGTGCAACAAATATACAGACAGCCAGACAAAACACTCATGCACAGAAAATAAAAATAATTAACTCCAAAAAAATCTAGACAATATGGTTGGCCCTGGGGATATTGCTAGCTAAGCCACAGAGCAACAGCCTAGCATGCACAAGTCCTAGGGTCACTTCCTAGCACCACAAATGAACCCTATACTAATATATCAGCAATGCATTCAAGACTTTAGACAGCCTAGCTCTCTTTGGTGGTTCTCTGGAACTTTCTCAGCTTCCTTGAAGCTAGCCTACACTTCCCTACAATGGCTCCCACTTCTTCATACAGAGAAAGCAGGAGGTGTCTTGTGGGGCCTGAGCTCTTGCAGCTTGCTGCATGAAACTGCAGCTCTGCCTCTGCAATCATCTTCTCATTTCTCCCTCCAATGATAAAAGACACACTTCCTATCAAAACCTCACTGGTGCCTGCCTCTCAAAAAACCCACCCATGGCACATCAAATCAGTCTTCTCGTGTAACCCTGCTGCTCACCAACACCTTTAAACATACCTTCCTGCTCATTTGTTTTTATAATACTGAAGTGCAATATCTTATAAGCAAGACAAAACAAACAAACAAAACCAACCAGAAACCACAAGGAAAAAAGACAAAAACTGTGAAATACTTTAAATTGTTGGTCTTAATTCCTGGGCAAAGGGAGTCCTCTCCAGGAAGCTCTTTCTACACCTCCTAGAGCACCTCTTAGGGCACTGCCTGGTTTCTTCTAGCAATTCTAGCGTTTTGGGTTTCACACTAAGATTCTTTTATCCACTTGGGGTTACCCTTTGTATGGAGAGGCAGACACAGCTTCTAATCTCATTCTTCTGTGTGTGAACATCAACTTTTCCCAGTGCATTTGTTAAAGATGCTTTCTTTTCTCCAGTGTATGTTTTTTTAATAATTTATTTAACTTTTTATTTTATGTGTATTGGTGTGAAGGTGTCAGATCCCCTGAAACTGAAGTAACAGACAGTTGTGAGCTGCCATGTGGGTGCTGGGAATTGAACCCGGGTCCTCTGAAAGAGCAGCCAGTGCTCTTAACCATTGAGCCATCTCTCCAGCCCCCACAGTGTATGTTTTTGGCTTCTTTCTGAGTACTGTATTACATGTCCTCATGTTTGGCTCTTCTGTTTTATTCTGCTCGTCTACATGTCTGTTTTTACGACTGCAGCTCTCTAACATATCCTGAAGTCTGGAAAGGCAATCCCTCCAATATTGTTCTGTTTTCAGGGTTGCTTTGGCTATCCAGGGTCTTTTCTGGTCCCATGTGAATTTTAGGGTCTTTTTCTATTCCAGCAAAGATTGTTAAGGGTATTGCATTGATCTGTAAATTATTCTTAGTAAGAAGGTTGTTTTCACAATATTAATTCTACCAATCTGTGAACATGGGTTGTCTTTCCATTTCTCTAGTGTTTTCTCAATCTCTTTTTTCAGAAATTTGAAACAAAGTCTCACTGTAGACCAGGCTGGCCTCCAACTCACAGAGATCTGCCTACCTCTCTGTTCCTGGATGCCAGGATTAAAAGGATTCATGATCATGACTGGTTCTAAAGTTATTTTTAAAAATCAAGCTATGAGCCGGGCACTGGTGGCACATGCCTTTAATCCCAGCACTCGGGAGGCAGAGGCAGGCGGATCTCTGTGAGTTCAAGGCCAGCCTGGTCTCCAGAGCGAGTGCCAGGATAGGCTCCAAAGCTGCACAGAGAAACCCTGTCTTGAAAAACCAAAAAAAAAAAAAAAAAAACAAAAAAAAAACAAAAAAAAATCAAGCTATGTATGGTAAATGAAATCCTAGCACTTGAGGTAGGTAGATAGATCAGAAATTCAAGGTTATCCTTGAAAGGGGTAAAGGGTTTTACTTCTAGGAATAAAGGGACCAGACCCCCACTCAGCTCCCTGCTTTAGCAGCCATGACATGATACAGAAGAGACACAT